CAATAACGACACCTAGAGGAATGTGACTGGAAGGAATTGGTGAAGGGTTTCTACTTTGGTGGCCTCAGGATAACTTCTCTTCGCTATGGATGTGATCCTCCTAGAAAGGATGGCTGGGCTCTCCCTTTGAGATAGGTTGAGAAACTTAGGGTATGTTCACATTGCAGGCAAAAGCGCATCAAATCCGACTTTTTTGACCCTATGTGACCCATATCTGATCATGGTATGACAGTGTGAACGGCACAAATCTGATATTTTCAAATCCGACCTAGGTCACTTTCGTATGTGGTACTGAATCCGATACATATCTGATGTTTTAGAACGCGACTGCTGTTTGAAAGGTCATGTCACATTAAATCCGTCTTTTACGTCACTGACACAAGACAGACACCAATTATCACCGCCTGAGAAGACAAACGAGAAAGCATCCATATATACCTCTGCACGGAGGTAGCAGCCACTGCTCCAAACAAAGCCATTGTTAAAGCACGGGCTCTCTTTTTTCTCAGAGTCCTTCATTCTCTAATTAATTTGTCAAAGTTCTGACGGTTACGACTGTGCAGAAATTGATAGACTGCTGCAACAACACCTGCTAGCTCTGTAGCCGCCATTTTTACTTCCATAAACAGAGCACGTTGAGTGTGACGTCTTCTTTTGCGCATGTGGGCTGCTTTGAGGGCCGTGAACCATTCACACTAGAGTTTGATGTCACATTTTATTTGTAGTGTGAACAACCAGACAAAAAAAATCGGATTTGATTAAAAAATCATTAAGACCTGCAGTGTGAATGTAGCCTTAGTCATTTAGGACATGCTCAGTGTAGAACCAATATTTTCCGCATCAAAAGGGACACATGGGGTGTTTTAGGCATGTCCTATTGGAAGAACGCCCCTGTGCAGACTACAAACTATTATCAAAAGCACTATGTTTAAAAGACTTAATGTTGAAATCAGATCCAACATTCAACTTATGCCTCCCCTTCTCAGATCAGCACAAACATGGAAAGCAAGCGTGAGAGCCCGTGCCAGAAAGCTAGGGACACAAAGTTTTCAAATGAGTCATCAACAGAGGAGAAAAAGACAAAAAACATGTGAAAAAGATTATGGAAGCTTTGCCACGTTGACCTTTGTTTCTTATAACAAGAGTGTTATTACATAACCTGAGAATGAACATAAACGCTTGAACCAGACAAATCAGAGTTAGCACTTTTGGAACTTATCAAAGGTCATGTTTTCATGTACTGCAGCTTATTTTAAAATGAGGACATGGAGTCAGAGCAGGAAAATTTAAGCACAGTTGAAAAACAAACAGCTGAGTGAAATAACACGTTTTTGAACAGTTGGTGAACAGATGTTATTCCAGATCATCGTCCTTGCTCTACTATAAAATAGGATGGGATGTCTGTGGGAGGAAAAACAAATGACAGCATCAATGTTTTATTGGACTTCTAGCTACAAATTCAACTGTTATTCAGCAAAAGCTCCAGTGTTATCAGATTTATTTTTTTTGTCTGTTAAAAAACGCCTTTTATATTTTGGTAGAATGTATGACAGTTATATATATGATAATATTTTGTATACAATAGTAATACGCAACAGGACAGCTAATTTTCTTCCCTGGTTTAAGTGACATGGCATATCATGAAATTTGGCTTATTTAAAGCATGCTGTAATAAAATAAAAATAAAAATCTTGCACACAATATAATCCTGTCATGGAAGAAGCCGGTTTCACACGTATGATTTTGAAGCAATTTTGAAACTGATAAGACATTTGTACATCTTTTTATATACACAAAGAAAGAAAAAACATGTTGTCAGTCCATGGAGAGCTGACAAATTGACTATAACAAGAGGCAGGTAGCATGCAGGGAGACAAAAAGATGCACATTTACGCACATGAGGCCAATCGGGGAAGTGGTAACAGGTAACTAGATATAATTGAACACAATTAAGGAATAAACATAAAAGGAGGAGGTAAACGTCGAGCAAGACATGGGAGACAATGACTAAGAAATTAAAACAGGAAGTAAAAAAGCTAAACTTAAGTTCCATCCGCAATGGAAGTGATTCATAGTAATGTGGTGAGCAGACATCACAGGAAGCCAATAGCATTCGGCGACTTTAAGTGACTAATGGTGGGGTAGCCACTGGCGAAGAGACAGTGGTACGGCTACAATAATCAGTACACACTAACAGAAACTAGGCTTCAAAAGTAAGAAGCACAAATCTCAACCATGAATCCAAACTAAAAGTATAAGAACAATGACGCATAAGTCAAAGAATATAAAGTAAGACTCCACAAAACCCCCAAAATAAATAAAAAAGAAAACCTAAACTCAAAACCCTGGATTTGAAAACTCAGGACCAAGACATAATTAAGACAATTAAGACAATAATTACACTTTCATACTGACAATAAAGTATAAATAGAGAGCAATGATTTAATTGCTCTCTGTGTAAAATGATCTTGGACATTTTATAACATCAGTACGCACTGGGTGAAAATAACTTTGACACTTCCGGGTATATTACGAATAGGCTACACAGACAGGCATATTATATTTAAATCTAAATCTTCATGCTAAGTTGGCTTATATGTCAATCAAAAGAAACTAATACAACAAAGGTTATGAAAAGCAACCCAAAAAGGGATCTCATTTTAAAACTGTGTTGAAAACATAATATTTTCCATGTGAGGCTCCAAAAAATGAACAAGATATTATAACTCCTAGGCATGTCATAACAAATCAGTGTACAATATTTCAACCAAGAATTTAAATATATCACTATCATGCCTAACTGTATCCCCATAACCACCATCCGGCTTGACTTGTTGCTATGACTGAGAGAAATTGAACCAGGTCCAAGCTAAAATAACATCTAGGTGCCAGCAAAGCTTATGGTTTTGGAAAAGAAAAAGAGGATACACTTTATCCCTTTGGAGAAAAATCTATTTGGATCTTATCAATGGGTGGTTGTGAAAGGCAGATAAGGCTGCAGATGGAACTTGGGGATCAGTCTTTGACGACAGGCCCATGCTGCATGGGACATTGTGGGTAGAGAGGTTAGGTGGGTGCTTTGGGGGCAAATCTTCTTCTCAGTGTGCTTTAAATGTGTTTTCTATGACCTGCTCCATGGGCAAATGATTTTGTGAGCGTATGACTAGCTGTGTGTGTGTTACAATATGAGACTGAGCCTGATGATGGATGTGCGTGTGTGTGTGTGTGTGTGTGTGTGTGTGTGTGTGTGTGTGTGTGTCTGTCTGTCCGGGTGTGAAAATCCATCCTTCTCTTGATGCTGTGTGGTTCCATTGGCAGTCTGTGTACTAGTGAGTGAAACCCCATTATCAGACTGAAGCAGGGCCTTGCTCCAGACTGCTGAACCATAATGAGCTCCTCACAGCAGCCAATTTGTCTACACAAATAAATCACTCTACCCCTCACACGCAAGCACACCCACACACACGGATATATATCTTCTTTAGAACTGGTCTGCGTGCACACATATCTCCATTAAACCTTGACATTCATAGAACAGTGGCCAAAGAGGACAATGCACAAAAAAAGATGAGAACTGTTTTTCCCTCCATTGCCATTGAGGAGCCAACATTTCTCATACCCTCCAAAGTACCACATATGATAAATGCATATTAAGCCTTGGTAACAGATTGCAAATTGAGTTTACGTGAACATATTGTCTAAAGTGTTTGCCTGTTTATTTTGCAAGTTTGTTCACAGCTAATGTAGGCCAGTACAATAGCCCTGTGATATAGTTTAACATTGTGAGAATCAAATCAGCTAGATATTATAAACCTAACGTAATACATTTGGACAGAGCACAACAAACTTTAAGCACAACATGGGTCTACTACAAAACAACTACTCTGAGCAGTTAGAATGAAACAAAACACTGTTCCAGCCAATGAATCCAAAACAATGCCCCAAACAGGATATAATCTATTATTACATATATTTAATTCACAGTTGTTGTTGCCTGTATTAGTAAAAGATGATCATCAACTAGTCACAAAGTTACAAAAAAATAGTAACACTGGTCACTGTTATAGTATGTTACATCAGACTGCATCGGTTTTAGTTACATTTAGCTAATAAACACGCAACTGTGTAAAATCATAGCAGTTTTATATTTTCTGATATATCTACGCCTTTATGTCTTAAACTATTCACCAACCATGATTTAACTTGCTCTTGAGTACAGGTGCACTCTAAGTGTTCTTTCTGTGAACTTATAAAATTTCAAGCAGCAGGGTAAGTTCAAAGCCGTTCCTTCCAACAAAAGCTAATGCCTTGGTAACATTTGAGAACCAACCAGCTGCCTATTACCAGTGAAACCCTTTGAAGTACTGCCAAGACAATGTGGGCTGTCAATTACACAATATTGCACCCTTCTGACTCTGAAATACAGGTGAAACAAAAATACCCTAAAACATTCCAAGTCTGAATTACAAAATTCATATCAAATGAATATTAATGCCTATTAAAGCCAAAAAAATAAAATGAAAGACATTTTGATGATTACGGTTTCCATTCTTCCTGCACCTGGCTGGAGCAAACACTGCACTTCAGGTGCACAGTTTATTTGCCAAACTCCTCTGATGTAAGCCCACAGTGAAGAGTTCTGTTGCATCGCTTACTGAACCATCACTAACAACCATATCTAAGAGGTAAAATATGTGCAGCATGTCCCTAGAATTCAGATCATGTGAAAAAAAAACAACAGACTTTTTACTGTTATAGAAACCCATATAACTGTGTTAGGTATCAGTAAATGTAGTGTGCGTTAAAATGTGACTCCAAATCTTCCCATCTAAGTGTCTAATAGTGACAACTGAGACAAGTTTCACTATTGCTGTATCAAATAATGCACTGAAACATGTGCCAAAAGAGATGCTGTGCCTGTGCCTGTCTCTGAGATGCCAGTAGTTTTGGCAAAATAGCAACATTTGAGACCTTAGGAATGAGGACAGGATCATACGCACCGTTGCAGGTTTTCCCATTATATGTAGCACAGACCCAGTCGTGGCACTCGCAGCGCGGACCGAAGAACTTCCCGGGTTCTATGGCCTCACAGATGCAAATGCCGCAGTTACATTTTCCCCTTCCGCTGCAAATCTTACCATCAGGCGTCCGGCAGCGGCGCAAGGATGACTCTGTGGACAGCTTGCAAACACCACCCACCTGGCTGGGAAAAAGAAAGATCAGATTTTCCACAACTTTTATTATGAGCTTAAAGTTTAAGTGTGTTCACACCTGTTTTTGTTGCAAATCCAAATCGAAAAGACATATTTCCTCAGTCATGCATCAGCGTCTCTTTTTAAACATATAAAGAGACCTATTCAAGATATTTGGTATGCGCGGTAGGACTTAACACATGTAGCTTTCGGTGCAATGGCTTGGAAGAAAGAAGTCTAAGAAAACAAAAGTGGGAAGAATGTAACACACAGCCCATATATTTGAGTCTTTATCAAGTAATAACAAACGCCTTGGAAACACACACATGACCACATGCACAGCTAATAAATTCAAATAAACCCAAACGTACAGACACAAATGCACTTTTCATTTAACACACTCTAGGAGCTGTTTTCTGAGTTTTACCCTAAAGCGTTTCTGAGTGAGATTTGTTTCACTTGGATGCCGTCTGGCATTCTTTTTTAAATCCCTGCCCTCTCTTGATATTGGCCAGATGTCCGCGTTTGAAAACTGAACACATTTCCAAAAATCAACAGCTCAAGTGTTCTTGACCCTTCTATTAAAATTAAATACAGAATGTGATTGTCCTGAGTGTCACGGGGAGGTTATACAAGCCCCATTTCACACAGACTTTAATCAGTAATGGCCCTTTTAAGCCTGATCACAGAGCTCAGCCACACGATGCAATGAACTGAAATGTATCTGATTACATTTATTCATTTTTTTATTTATTTTACGGCAGCATGACATTCAAATGACCTTTTTGGATTGTGTTACTTCGTCCAGTTCAGCTGATCAGTGATAGATCTGGTTAATGCCTGGCTTTTGTTCTGTAGAGTACCTCCCAAGAATACAACCAGAATTCCACAAAATAGTAAAATAACATTCCAATTCATAAAATTAATGCTTGGTGAAGAGAGTCTAACTTGCTCCACATTAGAATTTTGGACTTTCCTTGGTTTTAACTTGGGTTTTGTTTAACTGTTTTTTTTTCTCCTTGTTACTATGTCTCCAGGGGACAGTAGTAACTTTCTTGGCTATCCAAGAAAATAAAAACTGCAAAATGTACAGTTTTAATTAACTGACTGAAGAAAGACATTGGACTGGCCATCACTTCTTACCACTTCTTCAAAGAAATTGGGCAAATTGCTCTGAGCACCAAAACCTTGCCAAAAGTATTCACTCACCCATCCACATCATTGAATTTTGGTGTTTCAATCACTTTCATGGCCACAGGTGTATAAAATCAAGTACCTAAGTATGAGAATTGCTTCTACAAACATTTGTGAAAGAATGCGTCACTCTCAGGAGCTCAGTGAATTTCAGAGTGGTACTGTGATAGGATGCCATCTGTGCAACTAGTTGAGTTGTGAAATTTCCCCACTACTAAATATTCCACAGTTAGTGGTATTATAACAAAGTGGAAGCGACAGCTATTCACCCACAAAGCAGTAGGCCATGTAAACTCACAGTGCACTATCAGGGGATGCCAAGGTTTCCATGGCTGAGCAGCTGCATCCAAGCCTTACATCACCAAGCACAATGCAAAGTGCCCAAACTAGTGTTGGAAAGCACGCCACAACTGGACTCTACAACCGTGTTTTCTAGAGCGACGACTCACACTTCTCCATCTGGCAATCCACTGGATGATTCTGGGTTTGGCAGTTGCCAGGAGAACTGTACTTGTCTATCTGCACTAAGCCAAGGGTGAAGTTTGGTGAGGGGGGGATTATGGTGTTGGAGTGTTTTTCAGAAGTTGGGCTCAGCTCCTTAATTCCAGTGAAAGGAATGCTTAATGCTTCAGCATACCAAGAAATTTCAAACAATTTTATGCTCCCAACTCAGGATTATCCATCATAGATAACAGTTTGTTCAGAGACTTCCTCTCCACCACTGTGTCAGAGGTGTCCAGTTTGTAGCTAATCACAGACACAGTCTTCAAAAACACTTTATTCAGTCTGTTGGTGTCACCTGCTTTCATGGTGCTTCTCCAGCAGACCACAGCAAGGTAAACTGCACTTACTACAACTTAGTGATAGAAAATCATTTAGCTGCAAACACTGAAAGTAAATAGTAAATAGAGCCTGTTTCTTCTTGTATGAATCCTCAGCGTTGATCTTCCTATTCAGCCTGTTCACAACTTGTACTGCTCCTTTATATGAATACAGGTGTGTAGCCATCCTCCTCCTTCTGAAGTCAATCACCATATCTTATTATCTTATATCTTATTCACATTCTGAAGCATACATTTTCCCCCACACCACTTAAAAAAAAAAAAGATAATAGATAATAAAAAAATCACCTCTGTACTAATACAGCCAACCATTGCCGAATCATCTCAGTATTTCTGTAGATAGCATGATCAGGGCTCATACAAAGGGTGAACGGTAATGTACATCACCAAATCTCACATACTATGTCCTGTCTGTCAGATAGTAAATGGCCTGTATTTGTATAGCGCGTTACTAGTCCTTAAGGACCCCAAAGTGCTTTACACATCCAGTCATCCACCCTCGTGATGGCATGCTACACTGTAGCCACAGCCACCCTGGGGCGCACTGACAGAGGCGAGGACACTGGCACCACCGGGCCCTCTGACCACCACCAGTAGGCAACGGGTGAAGTTGAAGTGAAGTAGAAGTGCCCAAGAACACAACGGGGCTCGAACTGGCAACCTTCCGATTACAAGGCGACCTCCCAACTCTTGAGCCACGACCGCCATAGATAATTCATGAGATGTAGTTTCTCTCTAAGCAGCAGCAGCTGATTCATTTTTTTTTTTTAAAAGGTTGGTAGTACATTGCACTACACTGTTTAGCTTTTTAAACTTTTAAAGCTTTCAATAATAGCACAAAATATCTGAGAAGTGAGTACTCAGTCCATTTCCCATTTCTAGACTATCTTCAAAGATGTGTTTTCAGTTCCATGGCTTAGTTTTATTACATTTGAGTCATATTAGGAAACATTTTTTGCATCATCGAGTATGGAAAAAAAAAGCCTATGAGCCCCATGGGCATCATGTGACTTGTTGTTCCACAGGGGCTCCTCTTAAAGGCCTTTTAGAGAGAAAGGTGCCGATTAAAAAATAAAGCTGATATAGCGTTACCATAGTTTTATGACTACAGGTGGAGCTCTACAACCTTAATCCATGTGCTCTAAGGATATTGTGTGGGCTGAGCATAATATGGATATTGCATAGCACTCCTTGGCTGTGCTTACAGAATTGAGGTTATAACTTTGTTGCTTAGCATTTTTACACTTTTTTTTAACACTGCTAGGTCAATATGATGACATAACTGGCAAACAAATAAAACACAAATTATTCAAATGTACATTGGAAAAACTGAAGAAAATATTGCAACTACCTAGATTCCCAGTAGCTGTTACTTTCTGTAATGCATGTGTGGGTTAGCTGCAGCTGTTCAATAAATATCCCCTGTACACTACATATGCAATGTAATCACTACAGAGGCACGGTGCACCTGCTAAAGAGTAAACACCCACAACTTTATGTCATCGTTAAATATTTACAGTTCTGCTAACCAGGGCTCGACTTTAGAGTAGCAAAGTAAACAGAAATGAGTCTTATATTCGTTACTGTATCCAGTTTCAGTGACTGACTTGATGTACTTTTGTTTCCATTTACAGTTTGTATTTGAGGTTTAAACTTCAATGTTCGTTGTTTTGGCAAAAACAAGTAAAAGCTCTGATACAAAATAATATTCATTGCAATTACCCTTTTCTGTTTCTGGCTTTTCCTCATTATTTTGATTTTGCTTGTTGCTATAAACTGATCCCACAGCAAATCCTTTTAAACTGGAGTTTTTTTTCCCCTCACAATAAGCTCAACTGCAAAAGAATGTAAAGCTGAACTGTGCAAAAAGAAAGTAAAACAAAACAGAAAAAAAGTTTGCATCCAATGTTAGACGACAGAATCCGAGACACATGCAGCATTATGATGGCAAGTAAAGTGGCATAAAGAAAACTGCACAGGAAAGAATAAAACTATAAGAGTAAACTATAGGAATAGACTTTCCTAAACTTTCCCACATTGCACTCTTTAAGTGTCGCCTTTGTCAGCAAGTCTGCACCTCCCTTTTCCTTCTCGCTCTCCAAACTATCCTAAAATAAACAAGAAAAACAACAAAAAAACCCCAAAGCTGTGTGGAAACTCACCTCACCGACTGCAACAAAGAGTCCTCAATGAAAGAGAGAAGGATCAGAAAGAACGGCACTAACATGGACTGTACCAAAACCTCAGTGTGCATGTTTAAATCCCACAGAAAGCTGAAGTAAAGTGGCTTGAAGGAATGCCCCAATCCTTCACTCCTGAAACAGACAGGAAGAGAAGGGAGAGGGAGAGGGAAAAGAAAAGAAAAGGAGTAAAGGAGAGAAAACGCAGCGGGCTGGCCTGAACTGGCTCGGTTCCTTCAGAGGCCAACAGTCCTCCACATACAAGTGCCTTTGATTAGTCTTGACTCTCAGACACAGTCCTGGGCAGGAGCTAAAGTAGGGAAACCTGCCAAGATGAAAAGCTAAGTCACCAGTTTGAGAAGTAATTAGAAGCAGACGGCTTCTCTAATTTTTTTTTTCGTTTCAATCTTTCCCCTTTCCTTTTCCAGATGATCTCTCTACGTTGCAGTTTTTTTATTTCTAAGTTTTCTTCTGGTGTTTTAATAATAAATAAGATCCAGAGTCAAAGGAGGCAAGCCCCCGCCCCAACATTTAGAGTGTATCCATTTGTCATAAAAGAAGCCGAGGAATTGTTCAGAGAAACTGCTTGAAGATGAATGTCTTGCTCTTATTCCCACATTATGAATTCAAATCAGTAGTTCACAAAACTACTGTGGCAAACACAAAAACACATATATATGAACACACACAAAATGCTGTGATCTTTGTCAGTAGCTGCACAGCTTGTCCTCTAGCATCATGGTCCTTTAGGTTGAAGGAAGTGGAGGAGAAAAGGAGCAGCGGGTTGAATATTGACTAAGTGTGAGCCACATTTCTGATGTTTGCACAAATACAAGAAATAAGAGTAAATCATGGCTATAGTGAGTTGACTTACCAGGGATAATATTAAATAATGATGATAAGCATAATTATTTGAAAGCAAAGCAAACCTCTGCTCTGGCAAACAGGTATATTTCAGTATATGGTGAATTGTTAGCATGGTTTCAATTTTTTTATTGCGTGGTAGCTTTATCTATAATAATGTTATTTACCTCCAAAATAACAGGGAATTAAGGCTTTAAATAAATGGTATAGTGCACGATATTCGATGTTTTGTACAAAATAACAGTAGAATAGAAACAGAAAGTAGCATAACAGAGAAGTACTTAGGGTACTGCATAACAGTTTTGAGCCACCTCCCATGAGGAACACTGGATATAGGTGCAGTGATTTATTGAAACATATGTAAACACAAATTGAAATACAGTACATAAAGCACAAACAGAATTTATACAGTTCTAACGAGCTGCAAAGTCAATATTTGGTATGACTATCTTTATTCTTCAACATAGCCTGAACTTTCTTAGACAAGCTTTCTTGTAATAGTCTTCAGGAATAGTTCTCCAGGCTTCTTGAAGCTCTCCTGTGGATGTTGGCTGCCTTTTGTTCTGTTTTCTGTCAAGATGATCCCACACTGCTTCAATAATGTTGAGTTTCAGACTCTGGGGAGGCTAATCCATACTCATAGTGTTCCATAATATGTTTTTTCTATCCAGGTATGCTTTTGCTACATTGGCATGGAGTTTGTGATCATTGCCATACTGAAAAATAAAGCCCTTGTCCATCAGACTCTTTCCAGATGATACTGTATGGTGGATAAAAATCTGACCACAGTTTTCTGCATTCATAATTCAGTTCAATGTTGACACCACTGACTCACAGCAAATGCACTCACAAACCATAATAAAACCACTGTGTTTTACAGATTTACACTGTTGAACCTCCGTCATACATATTGACAACAATTTTGATCCAAACGTTTTAATTTGAATTCATCCCTCCATAAGACCTGTTGCTAATTATTTTCAGTCCTTCCACAGAGACCATTTCATCAATAAAGAATAGATGGGTCAACTCAAGAGTCAGATGGATTTCTCATGTCTTGTGTCTTTGCTGGATTTTTTCCCCATTTCTTAAGGATATCACTTAAGATACTGTTGAACTACTGCCCATAGTTTTTAGGACTGACATGTTGGGCTAACAGCTCTTTGGAATTTGTCTTGTTTGTGCAAAAATGCTATATCATGCCTGTTGAACTGTTATCGTTGACATTTTTAGCAGATTTGACTAAATTATGTGTTTTATGACAGGTTGCTAATAAAAAGTGCCTAAAAATACAAATAACCCATAAAATGGGTTATTTGTCTGTTATGCTGTTAAATTATGTGTAGACACAACACTGGTTTATCCTTTGAATGAGTCATAGGTTAGTTTTAAGTGGCTCAACAAGACACCTGAATCTCTGCATGTAATCCAGATGCCCCATTAAATATGGCTCATACAATGCCAAAACAAAATGTAGCACATGATACATATATTGGTTGCTCAGATGGGGTTCAGGTCAATATCCCACTATCATGGCTCATTAAAATACTGAAATAGAATGAAGTGATTAGCAGGCTAAATTTCCCTACTAGAGCAATTCAGAAGATTATATTTAACAACAATGCACATCAATGGCAAATAATCAACCGGTTCTAAAAGATACTGCAGCACCTCTGGGTGATTTCAAGCAACTAAATGGCAAAAAGATATTTTGGTTAAAACCAATTTGCACCTCAGTTACTGAATTTACTACGACTGAAACTACACCCACGTTTGGACAATATACCCAGCCATGCAATATCAAATCAGGTGAAGGCAGGTCACTTGATATATTACAGAAATTTAGTAAGAAATCCAAGTTTTCACTTTTGTCTTTTACTTTCTATAACATGAAGAGCACAGTTGTGATTTAATACACATCCAATGGTTGTATTCTTTCAGGAGGAAGAACATTATATATATATAGTATATACATTGGGTGAATGTGCAGTAGTAGCAGCAAGCAGGTGAATTCTGTACATTAATAAGAATAGACATCTGACTATTTTACAGAATAGACAATATAAACATATTTAAAATTAAAGGAATTTGAAATGTACATTGTGGTAGTTATCCATTGTTAAATGTAAAATGCACATTAAATTTAATTAATTGTTAGGACAGACCTATCTTCAGACAACTGTCTCTGCATTTTTTACCGTCTTTGAGCAAATCTCTCATAGACAATCTTTGCCAACTATTCACAACAACAACAACAACAATAATAATAATAATAATAATAATAATAGTAATAATAATAATATAGTCTGATCAAATTAACTGCGTATCAAGCGATTACCATTAATGCAAATAAATATACTTGTATGATGTGATAGAGCAGCATGGCGAGCTTAAACTGTTACCACGGAAACGGCTGCGCGCCTCCGCAGCACGCACTAGTCCTGTTGATGTGATTGCTACCTGCGCGCTCCCGCGTTCTCCATACGATCCCAACACAGCCGGAAAACAGCTGATGTCATGGACAACGCTGGACGCGGCAGATAAAAGAAACCCTCCTCTCGTAAGTGATTCAACGTGTTTCTTTTCTCTGCTTCTCCACCCGTCGCGAGTCACTTTCAGCAGTTGCGTTTTTAGGATGCGTCTGAGGCTAGGTGCAGCCGCGCGCTAGCTTACTGGTCCTCCAGGAAGTGAGGAAAATCTCATCCTCCGGAGTAGGCCCTCGTGAAACATTGCAGTGTATTTGCTACACTGTCACGTGGTCAGGTTGTTACGTATTATATAGCTTCATGTAGGCCCTATGCTTGAACATATTCATGTATATTGTTGTATTTAGCTTGTTTTTGCGCCTATAGTAGCTGCTCATATTCGTTTCCATAGTAACCTTTGCTCTTCCGACGTCATTCATTCAGCTTTCAGTCACAGTATGGATATCCAGCGGTTTGACAACCATTTTACACGACGTGGGATCGGTCATATGCTGCAGCCTGTCAGTGGCTTTCCTGAAATGGTTTTAGGATTTCACAGTTGCTCGTGAGCCCCTCGTGGTTCCCAATCAGGAAACCTGATCCAGGTGTTCGTTCTCTGCCATCGATTAATTAGAACATTTTCAAGGTTATATAAGCACCTCATCACAGTTTGTGCAGTTATGTTTTCAAGAAGAAACCTTAAAACGAAGGAGAAATGCTACAAACATTATATGAACATTGGCATCCTGGGGATCCACTAGTTTAAACAACTGGGCCAATATAAATTTGTTCATTTTCATTTTGCTGTAATCCCTGTAATCCCTGTAAATGTTCAGTTTTCACGGCACTATCTTGCAACATCTATCCATTGATTTGATCTGGCAAAGCAGATAAACACCAGCTACTGAAATTGGAAAATGTCAGTTTATTTGCAAAAAAGCCCAACTTCACACAACTGTTGGCTGCTACTAATGCTAATCTGTGCAGCCCTTTGGAATGCATTTGAATACAATCAGTCATTAGGTGACAGTCCTATTTGATTTTTTTTTTAATGTTTACATCATCAAAAATCACAACATTTAACGTCTGTATCAGCATACACTATTTTTGAATAAGATGAATGCGAGTTTGAAATGTGAAGTGGGTCACTCATAGTAGTTACACATTTATCATCCTGCAGAGCCAGCTGTTTCATATGTGTCAAGCACTGGAGTGTCTTTTAGGTCTTTGTTTTTACTGTAATGGCTTGCCACTTTACTTTTCATTGTCACCACTTTGAGCTTTTGTCAGCCTCATTTACCCACGCTACTGGCCTACCACTGAATAGTTGTGAAGGTTTGACCTAAATTGTCAGCATTCCTTTGAATTTGCTTTTCTGATCACTTTGGCTTTGTATGCAAGACAAAGTAGTGAGAATCTTAGCTTGGAACTGTTTGGGGAATTCATTTGAAGGTATAGCATTAATTTAATTTAATCAAGGCTGTAATCGCTGCCCTTGTGGGAGCTTTGTGAAATAGAAAAAAATACAAACTGATGCAGTGAGTAAATGAAAGGTTTAAATACTGTTAAACTCCTTCATAAAATGTATTTTTAAAGTCTGCCTTTTAGCTCATTTTATGCATTTGGTATACAGTTAGGTCTGTATATTTTTTGTATAGTAACACATTTTTTTTTTTTAAAATTTGCCTCTTTACACCAAGTGGATTTAAAATCAATAATCAAGATTTGATTGAGGTGACTTTCAGCTTTAATTCAAGAGGTACTTCACAAAAGTACCGCATTAGGGAACTACAGCCAGTTTTAAACAAACGCCCCTATTTGAGAGGCCCAAAATTAATTGGACAAACTAACATCATTTTAAATATCAGGGCTGTTTTTAATACTTGAATGAAAATCCTGTTCAGTTAATGAATGTCTGAAATCTAGAATCCATGGACAACACCATCTGCTGCATTCCCTCTGTTAAGATGCTCTACTAAGGCTGCTGCGGCTGCTTTCATTTGCTGCTTGTTTGTAGGTCTCTCTACGTTTAGTTTTGTCAATCAGTAAGTGAAAAATATGCTATGTAGGACTGAACACAGG